TAATAGGAAATTATTCAACTTGAATGATTAATTTTCTATAAGACTGCAGTCTTAGGACTGTAAGTCTTAATTTCTATAAGATTATAGTCTTATAGTTTAAAGGATTTTGAACTAAATCAGACTTCATAGAATTATTTAAAACTTAGTCCTATAGAACTTTTTAACATTCTTACATGATGTGTTCTTATTGTATTATTTTAATCATAAGTTTTGCTTATTATATTTGGATTGATCTAATTTTTATAAATAATACAATACACAATTATAATATAATACTTAAATTATTATTTTAACTTTTTATTTTTAATATAAATCAGAATTTTAATTAAGATTATATTATTTCAATCATGAGTAAAGAATTTCATAAGATATCAAATCAAATAGATAAATTTATTTATAAAGAAAAGTATTTTTACTATCATATAATTTTTACCTTTGAATCTTAAATCCACCTTTTAATTACTTAATTTAACTTCTTTAAATCTTTTTTAAATTAAATGTAAAATGATTACAAAAATAATTTAAAAAGATAATGAAATCGATTTATTAGTCTAGAAAAGAAGAAGATGAAATAATGAATACTATATTAAATATAGAGAAAATAAAATGGAATTTTGAAAGATTGTAACTCAACGTATAAATCAAAGATATAATATGACATATTTAATTCACTAATACGAGTTAAAATGAAGGAATTTGATATGTGATTATAACATAAGTTAATAAATAAATAACAATATAATAACAAATATATAGAGGTAGATAAAAGTATTTGCATATCCTTTATAAATGTGAATTAATGCTAAAAAAGTTATATGATTGCGATAACAAATTGTGATTATATAATATATTAGTATTTATTTATATTATAAACATAAAAATAACAATTTATTTTTTTTTAATAAATTTTCTTCAAAACTTTAAATAAAAAAAATGTGAAAAATTAAAGAATTAACTTTAAAATAACACAGAGCTATAATTTATTGTTATTAACATAGTAATAGTTATCAGACCATTGCAGCATAGTGAGCTTTCATTGTGATTGACTAATTTTTATCGATCAATTTTTGTTATTGCTAAAATTCTATTAGTTGATAAAGTCACATGATTAAATCAAAAAATTGTTAATCAAAGTACATTCGAGTATAATAATGATAATTTAGTCAAATAAAAAAAAATATTTAATAAAGAAAATTTTATAAAATTGGTTTTTTTTTATTTTTATTTATATAAATATTAAATATGTTATTTTTTTTAATTATATTTTATATATCAAACAGCAAATTTTTATCAAATTATGCATTTGTTAAAGTATTCATAACATTTTCAAAAAGTAGATCTATATTATTATCTAAAGAAAAATCTTCACTACTAATATAAGTATTATTAATGGTTTCAGTATCAACTGATTCATTTTTACCCTCATTTATAACTGTTTATCAAATGAAGTCAAAGTTTTCTAATAATTTTTACAATTTTTTTCAATTTTGCTTATAAGATAATCAGTATAATATTGATATTAACTTCCTAATTTAAATAAGAAATACTTAAAATGATAAGCATATTCACAAATCAAATACAACTTACCTCACATAAATTTACGCAACCTTCCAAATCATAATATTTATCTTCTTTGAGAGGGTATGCTGTATTTCAAGTAAGCTATTGCTAAAATTTTAATATCAACTTAAATTTCAAGTGTTAGAAGCTCATATATTTTTAATTTTGAATGTATATATAGAATAATCTTTAAATTGCTAAGATTCTGATAAAAAGATTTATAGAAAAATTGCAGTCTATTTTTTAAGATATTCTAATTGATTTGCTGAATATCTGATGTTGTGATTCTCAGCAAACACATATGTAAAAGAAATGTCATCACGTATTTAATCAGTTATTCATACTTATCAAATAATCTGTTCTAATTTGATTTCTGTATTTGCCACTAAAATGAACTATAAAAGTTTTCTATAGAATAATCATTAAAAATATGAAGAAAATCTGTAAAAACTTGTGAAATAGGATGATTAGTACTAGTCTAATAAAAAATATCACTTAAAAATGCTAATAAAAGTTTGTTATAATTTCTACGCTTATATTAAAAAAAAAATAGACTAAATACAAAATATTGTCTCTTTATATATTATCTAATTTCTACTATAAAATATAATAAGATAGAAATCTAAAATCAATGAAATGATATTATCTAGTATAAATTGATGAGATACTGAACTTCTAGATCTTTGAATAATTCAAATTTCTATAAAATGATTAAATGCATACGTAAAGTTGTGGGTGAAACTGAAACCTAATTTCTAACGAAACTTCTGAAACTTGGCAAAATTAGTTTTGCCATTTATGCAAAATTCTGAAACCCTCAAAATTTTCAATATCTGACAAAATTTTCAAAACTTAACGAAACTTCTAAAATTACCAAAACTTGAAAAAACTTTCTAATGAAACTAATAAATATTCAAAACTTAACAAATTTTTGAACGAAATTTAACAAAACTAAACAATGTACTTTAATCAATTAAAGTAAATTGTAATATTTATGCAAAAATTTATTTATAAAATGAAAATTTTAATAGACATCAATTATTTAACCTATGCGTCTATAAAGTTATTATAAATAAGCTTCAACTGCTAAATTAGGATTCCAATTCTCATCAATTTCCTTTTGAACTATTTTACTATTATCTGATTTTTCTTCTAAATCAATATCTGAATCTCTGATAATTCATCAAGATCTTTTAAAAATTCTGATGCGTTAAGATCTATAATATTATCTAAATAAATGTTATTCTTATCAATACTTACATTCTCTTCTAATATATCTAATACATCTGTATTATTTGTTTCATTATTTAAATCTTCAAATTCTTTATCTTTATATAAATCAGCATTATTTAAAATAGATCGTAATTCTTCACTTCCTTTTCTAGCATCATAATGTGATAATTATTTTTTTTGCATTTGCAAGATAAAATGATGCTAATTTTTGCATTCTTTCAATTTTTTCTAAACTAAGTCTAATTTTACACTTTTCATAAAACCAACCAAGAGATAACCATATTCTTTCACAAAAAGCTGCATGAGGAATAATTAAAAGAAGCTTAATAACAAACTGTGCAATATGATTTTGACCTTTTAACAAAGAATCATCTATACAATACTACTATATTATAGGAGAATTATCAAATTCATATTGTGAATCAAATGGTAGATTCCACTTTTATATGCAGTTAGTTGTAATATTAATTCTTCATGCTCTTTATTTGATTTTACCATTTTTTTATAAAATTTGTCAGCTGCTAAAAGAATCTGACAAAATATGCCTTTTACCCATATTTGATCTACAGTCAACTCTTGTTATAACGAACTCTATGTCCTAGACCTCAACTTCGCTATAAGGCTATAGTGAAGATTTTAAGAGATTTGATTGGCCAATTCGCTATAACAAGAGTATTTTTATTATATTTGTTCAAAAAATTCGTTATATCAAGAGTTCGCTATAACAAGAGTTGACTGTAAATAAAATACAAGATTATTTAAATTTTATTAAAATAAAAATTATTTGAATTATTTTTTTTTAAAAAAATATTTTTACCATTAATACCCAGATGTAAAAAAAGTATAATAAATATGCATCATCATCAAATTTAATAAATCTTCAATTAAAAATTGCAATACAATCTTGTCAAAATTCTTGATGATTATTTTTTGGTAACTTTTTAATAGCTGTTCTTAATCATACCAATCTTAAATAACAGTCTGCTAAAGTACTTGTTTGTAATTCTAAAGTAGCAATGCTTTTTTTAAGTGGATGCAAAGCAAAAGCTAATTATATGACAATTATCAAAAAAAGTATGACTTCATAAAACATTTAATGCTGTAGTAGAAAGTATTTCTGCATAATCTGAATGCATCTAAATTATTATAATATTATTAATTTAATAAAAGCATTTAATTTTAATAATATATTATTATTAATATTTATAGTTTTTAAAGAAATCTGATGGTATATTACAGATTTTACATAATCATATATTGTATGTCATCTTATATTAACCCATTTTTTTAATTCTCTACCTTTAACTTCTAATTCCATAGAAAGATCTTTAAGTATTTATCCTAATAAATATATATTATGTGAGAAATATTTATAGTTATGAATTATTATTATATAATTATAAAATATTTACCTGAAAGGTGACTTGTTTTAAAATATTTAACCAATACTATACATTGACTTAAAATTTTATTAGCAAATGGTATTTTACATATATCTTTAGATATAAGATTAATTGCATAAGCAATATATCTTATTATTTAATATATGTGGAAATTTATCAGTAATATGATGGTAAGCAAGCTTAATATTAGCATTGGCATCACTTACAATTGCAAAAAATTTATTTTCTTCAATTTTATCAATTATTTCTTCAATTTGTTCAACTAAAAAATCCGCGGTATGATATTGATAAGATAAATTTTTAAGACTTCAAAGATATTCTCGATAATCTAAAGTATGTATTATAAAATTTCAAATTGATTCTTTTGCAGGATTTGACCACTTATTATACACTAATTATAATAAAGAAAATTTAATAAATATTATAATTTATAAGAATAGCATATATAAATAATTTATATATAAAATAACTTACATAAAGTTAAATTTTATTGATTTGTTAAATCTTTAATCACTTGTTGATTAACTACAGCTGCTTCTTATATTAATAGCCTTCCATATAAAATTTTTCTACTAGGCAGTAAATATGATGATTTTAATGTTTTTAAAAATTCAATAAAGAAAGATTCTCTATAATATGCCATGAAATTCCACAGATAACAAATGCTTTAACCAAAGTATGATTTGTTTGATTCTCTGTACTTTCAAATTCAGTAATTTTTCTTTGTTTAGTCCCATCATCTCTTTTTCTTTTTTTATATATAATTGTTTCAGTTGAATCTTGACCAATGGTTTTAGTTGCTAATTATTGTAAAAAAATATCTCTAATTGAAGGTTCAACTTTCTGACACTTAAAAGCTAAATATATTTCAATTTCTTGAGGTGAACCTTTAAGCCAAACAATATGACATAAAAGACATTCTGCAGATCAGCGTGAAGGACCAACCTCATTAAGTTTCTTTGCATATATGTTCCAGCCAAACTAACCTAGCTTACCTCCTTTATTTTTTAGTTTAAGTGGTATTTTATTATCTGATATATTTAAAGATATAAAATCTTGTTCTTTGTAAGGGGTTTTAACTGGTGTTTCTTTAGCAGAAAACATTTTAATAAAGTAAATTACAAAAATTTTTATTTTTCTTTTTTTTTATAAAAGAAAAAAACTCGAAAAAGGTCTTCTTTTATCATATTCTTTTTTTACACGCTGTTAATGTTACTCTTTCCGTCGAATAAGTTAACTATGATTTGAAGTCAGGGAGGCAATAGCTATGACTTAAATCCAATCAACT